ACACCATTATGCATACAACTCTCAGTGTTTACAACACACTATACACACCACACTGTATGCACTCCCCTCAATGCTGTACACACACCACTCCTAAACATGACTCCAAAGATCCCCCGTATAACCATACTAGACGATTGGGGCAAGTGCTGATAGCGAGGAACTGTGTGGACCTGACGTTGGCCGTGAGCGGGAAGCGAACTTGCGTTGCTGGCCGGGTTCTTCGTAGTTGCACGGCGCGAATTAACCGTTGCACTACCGCTTCTCCACACCTCAGCCTCTCTATATAAACTCTATACACTCCACTCTACTACACACACTCCACTCTACGCACACTCCAGTTCTACACACACTCCGCTCTACACACTCCACTCTACGCACACCACACTCTACACACACTCCACTCTACACACACTCCACCCTACACACACACCACACTCTACACACACCCCGCTCTACACACACCCCGCTCTACACACACTCCACACTACACATACACCACACTCTACACACACTCCACTCTGTACACACACTCCACTCTGTACACACTCCTCTACACACACTCCACTCTACACACACTCCACTCTATACACACACCCCACTCTACACACACACCACACTCTAAACACCACACGACACAGACACCAAACACTCACGCCACCTCTCCGACACACCGCACCACCAACTCCACGTGTGCCGCGCGCCAACACAGCACGCGGTCGCGCGCCGATGACCTCACACGTGCCCCACCCCCAACTCGGCCCCGCCCCCTCGCACTCGGCCCCGCCCCCTCGCACTCGGCTCCGCCCCCTCGCACTCGGCCCGCCCCTCGCACTCGGCCCCGCCCCCTCGCACTCGGCCCCGCCCCCTCGCACTCGGCCCCGCCCCCTCGCACTCGGCCCCGCCCCCTCGCACTCGGCCCCGCCCCCTCGCACTCGGCCCCGCCCCCTCGCACTCGGCCCCGCCCCCTCGCACTCGGCCCCGCCTCCTCGCACTCGGCCCCGCCCCCTCGCACTCGGCCCCGCCCCCTCGCACTCGGCCCCGCCCCCTCGCACTCGGCCCCGCCCCCTCGCACTCGGCTCCGCCCCCTCCGCCATCTTACCGAGGGAAGCCGCATCGCCTCGTGGGTTCTCAGGGGCAAAGACTGCCGCTGTCTGTCGCCGGGGAAGGGTGCTCTGTGACCGCCACGACTCGTCAACACGTTGCCGCTGCTGCCGCGACCCTCACGAGGACTGGCGGACTGAGAAATGAAGCAAAGAGCGGCCAATGCCGACATCCCCGTGTCGCTGACGACAACGGAGCCTCCTCCCTCTGTACACACAAAGGCCTCGAAACGTCAAAGCGGCCAGCCACAAACAGCACTATCGAGCATTTTACGAAGACGCTTGTGTGTTTTTGGAGGGGGGTGCGATTGCTGCATTTGGCAGTGTGCGCACAAAGTCAAATTTAAACGCACGCACCAAAACAAATTAACACCAATCGTCAATAACACGTGCTGCTTTAAAGGAAATAGAAAATGTGACGTTTCGGGCAAACACCCTTCTTCGTAGCACGATGATGAAAGTTTTATAGATAGAGTCATGACATCTTTCTTGAATCGTGCAAGGTTATAAGAGCATGGGGAAAACACGATAGGAGGGAGTTCTAAAGTGTGAGCAGTGCGATGGAACAGGCGGATAGAGAAGTGTTGTGATCTGCAGTGTGGCGAGTGAGTGTTTACCTGTCAACACATACGGTTGACCCCGTATTCTTGTACAGGGAAATTGAGTTTCAATACGGGCAAAACACATTTGTCTGTGTTTCTCCCTTGTGATGGCACTTGGTAGGATGAACTTTGAAATTTATAGGGTCACGGGTTGACAAATAATGCCTGAATTGGTCTGTAATAAGTGAGGCACTGATAAGGGGTTGACAGGTTTGTGAGTGTGTTGTGACCAGCAGCGTGGTGGAAACGCGTGGATAAGACCGAGTCCTCAACAACATTGGAGGATAATTAAATGTTCAGTTAATTTACTAGGTATAGCCCTGTGAGCCATTCGGCTTTTAAATCGGGTGCAACCGCAACAAACAAAAACACGAACAAGAAAACATCTTAAAGTGACTACAGGCAACAGAAAAGTCCAGGAAAAAACAGCAAAGTCTTCGAGAAAAAGCACCGCATATCAATGCTGTGTGCAAAAATCCCAGTGGGGTGCAAGTCTAACAATAACAACCATAAGACAATTTGGATTATTGTGACGTGCACGGAAACTCAAATGGTGGTAGTAGCGAGAGAAGAGTGATATGGAGGCGATTGGAGTAGGGATGGGAGTTTATAAGACTACGTACTTAGTAGTTTGAATGCAAACATTGATTACATTAAAATATCGAAACAAAATCATTGATTTCGATTTAAAGCTTTCGTGACTGCAGGGATTCATCTTCTTGGTTCTTTCGGTAAAGTCACGTAGTAGTGAAGTAATAAATAATAAAAATAAAACATAAAACAATTCTCACGACGTTTCGGCCACAACTGCTGACGGCTGCTTGCGTTGTGGCCGAAACGTCGTGAGAATTGTTTTATTATGTTTTATTTGTATTATTTTATTACTTCCCTACTACGTGACTTTACCGAAAGAACCAAGAAGAAAAATCATTGATGTTTTTTATTGACTTGGAAAGAGCAATGGAAAAATTCAAAAGCAATGTTTATTATTTAACAAAATGAATAATAAAATAGCAAATAGGCAAAAGGCATCAGGCTGCTGTTGGAGAGAACACTCAACACACTTTTTCACTGATTAAGGCATTAAATATGTCTATTGTGAGAAAAAGAGAATGTACAACTCGATATGTGACAGCGCCTTGCCAGACATTTCTCTGACAGTGTGATGCACTGCTTGCCTGCGGAGTTCCTAAACACAAACTTCTTCATATCAAGACATAACGCAGCTCGAATGCAATTTGGGGAAAACGAAAATAATATCCACAAATGGCTCCTGCCGTTCACTCGCCATGGGAGGTGTGACCTTACAGCCAAGGTTGAACCAACTAATCTTAGCATTTTCCCTGATGTCACTGTCACACCCTACCATAGCAAGAGGGATACTACAGCACGCATATATTTACACTTCAACATACACTTACATATTTACACAACAGTTATGTACATGTAATTATAATGACTGCCTAATGTGGAAGATGCGAGAATGGTGGCATAGTGGTTTGTACACTACGCTATGAGCCTAGCGATCTGAGTGAAATTCCGAGCCACAGGTTAACATCGATGGTAAATTATATTTAACCGTTCCTGGACTTCCTGTTCATCAACCAGCTCTGACCAATGTCAAAAAATCTCTACTGACGAAGATGGCATGAGGCTTTTATCGAGCAGCGGACCGACAAAACTGTAAATTAAATGTGTAGAATTGAGGAGCTTCAATTCCAGAAGAATCTTCAGTTCCTGGCGAATACGTCGAGTGAAACGTCGGACATCGTGCCGAACAACACGTGGTTACAAACCTGAAAAATATCGGAGAGATATACAGCACAACTGAGAAAGCTTGTGCAGTGGAAATGTTTGTTTCCCAGACAAAACTATAATTCCTGCATTTTTAAAATATTACCCTCCATAACATTGAAGTCCATCGTGTCAAAGTAGATCCTTTGAGGTTTTCCTTGATCCTGCCTCCCCCTCCACATCTCATTTCCATCACCCAGCAGTGTAAATATGGCAAGATCAATAGACTATGGGCCAAAATTTATTCACAGGGGGAGTAAAACCCTCGTCACGAAACAATGTTCCGCATTAAATAGAATCTGCATGTCTCACGGCGGATCAGCCCAATACGACCTCCATAAATATAAATTCAAAGCAAGCCTGGTGTGGGATTGCAGAAACAATGGCCATACCGATGGCCACATAATCGTGAGCCATTGTGAATTCTACGTGAGCTTGTGGGTCTCTGGGTCCCTATATAAGTCTACATACGTATAGGGGTCACTATGTGAGACCATGCAGTAGTGAACCAATGTGAGCTAATTGAAGGCAGTGAAGTTGTCTATCCACTGCACATCAACTGAAGCCATATAAACAGTGGATATTCATCCACCCGGGCAGTGGATAGACCATGGCTGATGAAAAAAAATGCCCAGACATCCACCCTGCAGTGGAGAGACCACAGCTGACGAGGACTGCTAAAACATCCACCCCAGCAGTGGATATACCACGTCTCATGACGAGAATGAGGAAGAGGGAGTTGGGTGGGTGAGGGTATTTTGATTATTTTGATGTAGCAAGGTCGCTTCTGAAAAACAAGCTCATAAGCTCAGTGGGCTTTACCCTGGTAAGATACAAACAATTATTTGGTTGTATTTGAATATATATTTTTAAAGTGATGCGTTTACATTCCCTACACTTTGCACTCCTGTCGTGTTTTTTGTATTTGTTGAACTTTCTGACCCTCCCGTGCCCCCCCCCCCCTAAACTGGACATCTGCGGGGGTGGGGGGTGTGGGGGGGGAGGAGAAAGAGCTTCATAGCTCATCGGATTCCTCCACTATAAATACACATGATCTGCCTCGAGATTTGAAGCTTTCGTGACTGCAAGGATTCATACTCTTATGTTCTTTCGGTAAAGTCACGTAGGTAAAAATAAATAATAACAACTATAGAAATAATAGCTATTATTATTTATATTATTTATTATGATTTTATTGTTTATTTTAATAATAATACATGAAAATAACTAAATTAAATCACTTTTAGTTATTTTCATTTATTATTATTTAAATGAAAATAACTAAATGAAATCACTTTTTGTTATTTTCATTTATTACTATTTTATTTTTTTTACCTACGTGACTTTACCGAAAGAACCTAAGACTATATGATCTGCCTCGCTGATGCACAATCAATGCCTCTTGCACGCACGTGTTGCTACTGCCACTGCCACCCACCACCACCGCCGCCTCCTGCCGTTGTAAACACACTGCTGACGTCACACCCCCACCACCCACCCCCCTGCCTGGCCACGTATGCAGCAGCAGCAGTAGCGGCGGCGCAGTGAAGAAAAGGGGGCCCTCTCCTCCTACTACTCCTGCTGCTTGCTCTCGACTGGCTGGCTGGATCTCATCTCTTCTCGCACCATCTCTCCACCATCACCTTCTGCGTCTCTAACACCCGGTCCCCTCCTCCTCCCTCCCCCCTTGCACCTCAACAAGGCCATGAAGGTGAGAGACACGCGCACACAACACAACAGGGGGGTTGGTTGGTTGGTGCGGTGACGACGATGATGATGATTGTGATGGTGTTTGGTCGGAGCTAGTTTTGTAACAGCCATTGGCCACGTCTCTCTGTGTCTCTCTCTCTGTGTGTCTCTCTGTGTGTCGTGCGCGAGGTTTGCCTTCGTGAACGCAGCCTGTGCGAGACTAAACGCCGTGTCGTCTTGCTGCGGCGTGGTATCGTGTGGCACGGAGTGTACTCTCTCGTGTGAGTGCGGAGTTGTGGTGCCGTATAATTCCCCTCTCTCTCTCTCTCGCTGCTTTATTACGGCGACACACGAAGCCAGCAAGCGGCTCTGTTGTTGGCAAAGTCGGGGAACGAAATGGGTGTTCGTCTCGCCACTAACATTCGTCTCGATGTCGTCGACCCCACACAGTCGTGGCCTCTAAATTCGTCGCCAAATTGTTGTGGCCTCCTCTCGTTGCTGTTGCTGTGGTGGTGATGGGGTGGACGTGCAGCGTGTAACGCACGTGTGCACGAGTCGAACCTCCATCGATTTCGGTGGATATGTTGCCCGAGTGACCTTTACGATCATCAATGTTACCGTGACCGATTAGGCGACGCGTCGATAGATTTAGACGCCTCCGCGTTCAGTGTGTCGCACGAGTTTTTGTTGTTGGCCGTGTGTGCTGCATATACTGTCTGCCGTGATGCTGTGGGGTTGGTTTGTGTGTTGCTGTGGAAGTAGTAATACTCGACAGAAATCCACTGCTGGATGAATGCCTGTGTTAGTTGTGGGGGGGGGGGGGGGGGTAGAGGCAGTGGGGTGGTTGACCATACTTCACCACGCCAGTCAGTGCAGGTTGGCGAAGGCAGGGAGTAAAGCCAGGCCCTTCCAGGTAAGGGGATATGAGGTAGGAGCTGGAAGATGTTTGTTTAACAAGGGAGAGTTGCATAAGATGTGGCTAAAGGGGAGCTGGGGGATGGAGAGAGAGAAACGGACCGGGTAGCGTTTAGGGGATATGAAATGTACATTTGTATAAAGCGAGGGCTGACATAATATAAAGTGAAGATAGTGTATACACTGTAGAGAAACCCAGCGGATGATGGTGCTGGAAATCTTGAGAGATGCAGAGAAGGCATGGTTACAGCGAACGATGGAGAGAGGCGGATGGAGATAGGCATAGGAAGGAGAGAAAAAAAGATGACTTTGCAGTGAGAGAGATGCACACACATAATGGTACATAGTGTGCTTACAAAGGGAAGGGATGTGCAGTTAGGGAGATGGAGGAAGATATTTAATGATGTATCGACAGAACGTGCTGTAGATGGATGCAGAAGGAGGGGGGGGGGGCATGGTTGTGTGTGGGAGATAGTGGGCGATCTTTCGAGGTAAGGGATGTACAGAAGGAATATGAAGGGAGTTAGACGATTCACTGCGGCTCATAGAAGAAAATGTAGGTACAGAGTGGCAGCCAAGGAAAAGTAACGCTTCCGAAAGAACGTCCGCGGAGGAGATGGAGCGATAGAATCTGCTCGTGCCCAGATACCAGGTGGATTATTACACTATAGGGTTGTGAGGTGGATGGGCAGCTTTTTGATGCGTTCATCCAGCAGTGGCTTTAACCCTGCCGCTGCTGATGATAGACACATGGCGCACACACACACGGGAGAGAGAGAGCGGGAAAAAAGTAGCCTCTGGCTGACACCAGGTCAGGGTTTGGGTCAGATGACCCCAGCTGTTGCCTGTGCCACGTTTTGCTGCCAAGGGGTGGAGTCTGTGGGTGGGTGTTGGTGGTGTTGGAGGAGGGTTGTCACTCGGGGGGGTGGGAGCAACACGTGGCTCTGTTAGGAGGTGAAGGATGAGAGCGAATGGCAAATTAACCCCAACACTACCCCTAACCATAGTCTCGGTGCCAAACCTACCATTATCTCTGATCTTGACTCTAACCCCAATATGGGGCCCTCAACCTACAGTTTGCCTTTAACCTAATTCGAGCTCAGTGTTTTGCCCCCCCCCCCCCCCACCAACACTTGTACTAGCGATACACCTAATTTTAACCACCTAACCCTAGTTCTAACCCTAACCTAATGTTCAAGTCATAATTCCTATCCCTTGATCAATAATGAATCGCAATCCTAGACTTAACCTGATGCACTACTTCCATCAAGAACCCTTAGCTATTACCGATAACTCTAGCCTGTATCTAGTTCTAAACCCAACTGTAGCCCAGACCTAAATTCAGTCCTAGCCCCTGACCCCAATTTCAAACATAGTCCTAACCATAAGACCGAGAGCCATATAACTCAATATAATGTGTCCTCGGCAGGTTAAGGTCAAGACTGTATTGAAATAAGGCAAGCCATAATTGCCTCGCACTAGCTATACGCGCACATTCATTGGGAAATGAGATCCATTGCAAGAGGGAAGGTCATCCTGAAGGGTCACGGATATCATCTCCATAGCTGAACTTGTGAATGCGGTGTTAGGCAATGCTTAATTTCTCAATATATCCAGGTTTATAGTCGGCACGTGTCTGAGAGTGAAAGCAAGAGGAATACTGGGTGCGGTGTGCCCTATTTTCTGGGTCACTGACATGGGCAGGCCTCGCCTAAATTAAGCCCTGGATGTTGGCTATTAAGGATTTGCTCAACCGAATGCCGTGGTGGGACACGCGGGACGTGTTTACGACACTCGGAGATGTAAGGTTGGCAGTAGGAGTGGTTGTCATTGTTCTGGAAAGAGAAGGGGTGTTGCTGGTGTGGTTGTGATGATGGGTTCCTTTGTTATTGCTTGCGTTGATAGTGTTAGCTCCGATTGGGTTAGTGATTGTAATTATTACTTTTTTTAGAAGGTCTTGTATACTTGCCAACCATATCGATTTAAGACTTATGCTGCAATTTTTAAACCCTTTTAGTGCATACCTATTTTCAAAGCTCATCATGCCACTTCATACAATTTATTATCATTTTGATGCAATTTTTGCTTTCAAATTCGGTATGCGATAAAAGGGCTTTAAAGGCAGCAGCCGGACCACTCGCATCCTTCGCGTTGGATAGTGAGTGGTATTGGTGAACGTGGTGGTTTATGTATGGGGTCAAGTCGTTGGTGTTTGTGGTTGGTGTGTTTGATTGTTAAGGGCCTTGGTGTCGTTGGTTGTGTTAATATACACTGTGGTTAGGTTTTTGCTCATTGGTATTACAGTAAAGTGGACCTGCCTGTGATTTTGTTCTGGTTTGAATGATGCCAATTATTAAGGGATGCTGATAAAGGTTACGCTTTTAGTGCATCTAACCTTAGGTAGGGTAAGGTGTTATGGTTAGTATTACATGTTGGGGTTAAGCTCAGAGATATTATTAGTTTATGTGGCTGAAAAAAGACGAGTTATGATTGTTTACCGCTAAAGCTAAATTTAGTATTATGAAATAAGGTTAGCTTGACTGTTACTGTTAAATCTTTCGATAGGCTTAGCACGAAAGGTAGGTGTGACATTATAGTGAAGTGTCAGACTGAGATTAAGGCTAAAGTTCGAGTTATGATCGTGGCTCCTGTATATATTTTTTAAAGGCCACAGAGCCCCAAGGTTTATGGCGTTAACCTTCCCCGCATGAGTTGGAGTTTCCGTTATATAACGCGATGAAGTACATTTGACGAAGTAGAACACAGCACGTCCACAAGAGGAGGGAGATGGAACGATCATGCCCAGGCGCAGCGCTGGGTGATTTTTAATCGGCGCAGGCTGATTGGTTGCTGCCTCCATTCAGCAGTGGATTGACCGTGGCCGCTGATAATGAGGACGAATTCGAGGTTTTGACGCTCACAATCCCAGGTTTACACACAACCCAGAGACTCAGCCTGCCGATTGGTGGTTAAGAGGGGGGTGGGCGGGCGTGAGTAAGTGAGTGAGCCTTGGGGGCAGAGAACTCTGCTTGCTGGAGGTGCACACGTGGCAAAGACGTCCACATGGTACGTGGTCGTTTCCCTCCCCCGTGCAAATATTCCGACGGAGGCAAGCAGCAGAGGCAGCAGCAGCAGCGACTTGGGCACTGGTTGTTTATGTCTTTACTTTAGTCACGGTCTTAGTCGGCAACAGACTTTTGGAGATGTTGTCTTAGTCCGCCGATTAATTTAGGCGTTTCTCGAAAGTCGCGTTGATCGAGAAGACGATGCAAGACAGTCTGCGTTATTCAGTGTTGGTGAAGGGCACGCAAATTCCTCCCAACAATAGTATCCGGTCAGACAGTTAATGTATGTGAAACTTATTTTTTAAAATAATATACTGTATAGCTTGGTGATTTTCATCCATAGTCATTGCTCATAAAAAAACCACTTCGTAAAAAGTTATTTTCGTCACCAATTTCGTGAACAAAATTAACATTGCACTGTGTGCCTGACCGCTGAGGATTGAGTGTGTCACACCGAGGTAAACCGGTAGAGAATGGTGATGAGTTAACATCTGAGTGAGTGCTTGGCTATAGTTTAGCTGAGTTAACATCTGCGTTAGTGCTCGGCTCGAGTTTAGCTGAGTTAGTATCTGCGTTAGTGCTGGACACGAGTTTAGCTGAGTTAGCATCTGCGTTAGTGCTAGGCACGAGTTTAGCTGAGTTCGCGTCTGAGTTAGTGCTAGGCTACAGTTTAGCTGAGTTAGTATCTGCGTTAGTGCTAAGCTCGAGTTTAGCTGAGTTAGTATCTGCGTTAGTGCTAGGCTAGAGTTTAGCTGAGTTAGCGTCTGAGTGAGTGCTAGGCTCGAGTTTAGCTGAGTTAGCATCTGCGTTAATGCTAGGCACGAGTTTAGCTGAGTTAGCGTCTGAGTGATTGCTAGGCTACAGTCTAGCTGAGTTAGTGCTAAGCTAGAGTTTAGCTGCGGTTATGGAACGGATTGAGTTAACAGGACAGTTGGGCTTGTGGTTAGCGTTCAAGCTATACAGTCAGTACTGATGGTTGGATAATGCCTTCATTCAGCACTGGATATAACATGATTTCAGATTATGGAGTTTTGTGATTTTG